AAAAAAAAAACGGTTATTGTAATACATAATTATCTATTTTAACCATAAACAGATGAAAACTAATCACGCAAACAATGATAATTTCATGTGCAAATAGCTACCAGTCAGGTAATTGTTATGAGACTGTTTTTCTGTTGCTTTATGAGTACTTAATGGAAAGGAAATACGAGTAAATAGGTGATGATCAGTGACGCAAAAGTATTCAAACGTAGCTGAGATAGCACAAAACTTGTTGCTCTATTGTATAATACAATTGCAGTGAAGGTAGCAACAAGACATATTCTCAACTGCTACAAAATTCCGATTATTTTTCATTCAAAGAAACAGATGAAATGAAAGTGTAACACTCGGCAGTTCATGCAATCATTTTTGTCTAATAATTCATAGCCAAGTCTAAAAACCCTTTATTATATAAGACTATACACCATATGTCGAATGGAAAGATAAAATGCTCATGACAGAAATATATTATGCTTACTTTGCACCAAAAATCTGTACAGACCAGGCGGAAATGAGCACAAATCAATCTTTGAGTACAAAAGAAAAGCAGTTTATAAGTGTGGTAGTCAATGAATTACTTCTACACTATGAAACCAGAGTAAGACTTGCGAACAGTACTGAATGTGTCGAACTTTGCGGTGTGTGAGGCGAAGTGTGGCCAATAGTGAATGAATGGGACAGAAAACCTCAGGCAACCATTGAGGAATGTGTTTGGTACAGCAGAGAAGACGAGTTCTGAAGAGAGGACAGATTCGGTCGCACAATGCATTTATGCAAAGAACGTTGTCTATTGATATCAGTGAGTGCTTGCAGTGTAACATTCGTCATTGTCAGTGTTGCATACGTGTCGCACTGTGCGTCGCTGTTTTGCACTGCACTGAAAATGATTTATGGCCATGAAGTAGCTTTTTTTTGCAAATAGCGAAATTGCGTGCTTTGCTCGTAGCTTTCTCTGTGACGTGTCTAGCGCTTAATTATTGAAAGTAAGATATGATTTCATTACAGGTAAGCAGAAGCAATCAGCTGAATGGTGATATTTCGGCTGGTCTGGAATATCTGGAGAGCAATTCAGTTATACATCAAGCTCTCTAATGATACATCGCTGGCATGAATAAAGTAATTATTAGCCTTTGTGTTGCTCCTTAATTCTCAGCTTTTCAGAACTGTTTTTCTCGTTAAGCGCTTTAGTTGCTCTGTAATTGTTTAATTTTTATAAATTGCGTAAATATTCGTTACTTAAATTATTTTAGAAAGTAAAAAAGTTTTGCCAGCGGTTCAAAGTCATCAATGAGTGGTTCGCAAGCTTCAGAATCACTCCTGGTAATGCTCAGAGCAACACAAGGCAAAAATCAGAAAAGCGAGAAATTTCGGCACCTCAGATGCCGGATTACATGATGATATAGCGACAAGTGACATGAGTTAAGTTTCCTGACGATAATGATGACAAATTATGATCACAGGAGCGGAGGATGGGAAGAACAAGCTCCGAGGTTACCAGGATTTTAGCAATGGTAAACGAAGGAGCAGAGGAAAAGATGCAAGTGCTGGTCTTGTAGGTTTTATTTTTTATTAATGAGCAGTTTTGGTTAAATTTGCTCATGCATTCATGATATAAATAGTTCCATTTTAATTTGCAGAAGAAACCAGATGGTTTCGTATCCCGGTTCCAGCCTTGCAAGAAGCAGCAGCTAATACAGTACATGGAGCTTTTCGAGCTTCAGATGTTGGTATCCTGCCAGATTATTTTAGGAAAAAGATGGTCAAGCATCGCAGGACACTTATAAACTAATCTTGCTTAGGTGAGCTTTTGTATTACAAAAATAAAGACTTCAAGTGACCCTTGCACTTGTCGCAGACAAGAAAAAAATATCAACTCAATGCATGGAAAGCCAGTGAATATATGTTTGTAAATATAAATTAATTTATTAAGCATGAATTGCTTATCACTATGTAATCACTGGTATTTGACATATTTTAACAATTTGTAAAAAATTAAAAGAACAATAAAGCGTTAAATTACTTAATTTCGAATTCTGTGATATGTTCGTTTCAGATGCATCAAAATACGTTCATTCGCATCTTCGAGGTTGCTTTCGCTTCTTGCCTGTTGCTTGAACTAAAATTCGCGGAGTTTGCAGTAAGTATATACGCTATTAAATTCCAATTTTTGATTTTATTCAAATCTGGGAAAATACTCCTTTTAATCCATTTTTGCAGAAAGGTGAAACGACTGAAAAAAATTGCCGAAGGCACTCAGAACCGAAAATGGCGTGCAACCTAATCTATCCACTAATTCATCACATACCGATAAAAACAGACTAAGGAAAGGCGGAAATTCAACAATTATGGACAATATCCAGCAATCTCAATGTAATGGTTCCAAGAAGAAATCAAATAAGTTGGATTCCGGATGCAAAGCAAGGTGCATGCTGGAGAAAAGCAGTTTCTGGGTGAAACTTGCTTGAAGAATTTAACGACCAAGAGTATTTTAACCCGACACTTCCGTATACATATCAGTGAAAAACCGTGCATATGCGATGTATGTGACAAAGGATACAAAAGTTTTGGTAATTTAAACACACACATGCGCATGCATACTGGTGAGAAGCCAATCATATGCGATGTATGTGAGAAACGATTCGGGAATTCTGGTGATTTAACAGTACACAAGCGCATTTATACCGGTGAGAAGCTGTACATGTGCAATGCATGCAAGAAAAAATTTACAACTTCTACTTATTTGAAGGAACACAAGCGCACGCATATTGGAGAAAAACCGTATGCGTGCAAAACTTGTAAGAAAAGTTTCACACAAGACGCAAATTTTGAGGGACACAAACGTACATGAGATAGAAAACATTCAGGTATGGCATGGTTGGTGGGATGAATTTGCAGTTTGCGAAGACATTCCAATAATTGAAAAAAGACTCACATCCAAACGTTTTGTTACTGCGAATATTATTTAACATTTGATGTAGTTGTACGGATTTTGCGCACTTTTTTGCTAATAAGTTGTTTCTTGCGAATGCTTCATGCTATTCATGTTATAATAAACGGGATTCACTTTTTTTGTACCTTATTCCCATCCACTCTCTGATAACTATATTCGAATTAACATTGAATAAATATGAGATATATATTGTACACAGTCATTGCAGAACACAAAAGCATTAAAACACATTCATTTGAAATCTGTGCAACAAGTTTTTGACATCGTCAAAACACCATGTAAATCATATACTAATGCATATGTGGAAGATCAGAAGCTTATCGAATATAAAAATCTGTTTTGAATGGAAGACTGACGTATTTCTACCACACTTGAAACAAATCTTGCAAAGAATAGAAAACGTGATTTATAGAATATCAACACATCGCAGTTATCGTTTCAAATGTGACAAAAACCAACAAATGCTTCATTTTTATTGATATAATCTAGAGGAGAGATTGATAGACTCCTTAAATTCTGAATTCATACGCAAAATGCAATTGCAATGCAATTATGGTCCCAAAGAAAGCTTTCTACTGATTAAGCTAATAAGTTTTATGTGTTGTCGAGCGTTTTTCTTCGCTAATGCAGAAGAATATTTACCTTTTTTGAATAAAATATAGTGTTTTAACGTATCTCAAATGTTTTCTTGGAGATTCTTTACTTTTTACTTGTTCCAAAATGAATAAAAAAACCAGTGAAAAATTAAACCTCAGATATATTTTATTGAATATGTTATAAACGCACTGACTCTGATGTCTTGCTCCGCTTCCATTTCCTTTGCCACCACCACTGCGACGCCGGCATCCCGAGCCTTCTTTTGAGGCTTCAAGATACTCTTCCTCGAGCATCTATCTATTCGCCATTGTCTTTGGGAAGAGGTGCCAAATTTGCCTCCGCCTTATCGATAACCAGCTCCGCTAATGCCGGCTCCATTGCTTCCTCCCCTCTCCTGAGAAAGCTTCGTACAACTCCAGCTGATCCTGGAGCGCTTGCTCTCGCTGATAAATTTTCATAAAAAATAAGCGGCAAAACTCTGCTCTACTAAAATTTATTCTTAATAACTAGAATTAGCATTTCTATGTATTTTAATGCTTGTTCAGTCAAGATAAATTAGAAATTAGAAACTACTCAAGTAAATATGAATAAAGAGCAAAAAAAAATTGAAAGTTACCTCTGCAACTTGATCCATATACGTGAGGAGAGATATGTGCAGCCCTGGGGTTGCTCTCCAAGTACTGCAGCACGTCGTCAATAGTTGGTTGTGGTGCTGACACTTGCAAACCATAGCTAAATATAATGCTGACAATGATGTAAAATTATTAAAAAGGAACATATTGAAATGCAGTCACGCATACAATTTCACTCTCACAAAATGCTCAAAATTTTCTACAAATAACAGATTAAATCACGTAATAGTGATTAAAACTTCTCCGCCTCAGACGATTTGCATTCAGAACCGTACGGATACTACGCATTTGCAAAACGGGAATTTTGACAGTCGCGACAAACTGTTTGAAATTAAGAAATGACAAATACCAATTTTCTTGCAAAGGAAAGGCGCAAGAATGTACGAGACAAGCCCGGAACTGACAGTACCTCTAATGGATGGATTAAACGTGTATATATATATATAACTGGAAACATTTACTTTGAAAAAACACACTTTTATAGCTGTGAAGATTTGAGTAGAAAAAAGTGACTTTCAGTGTTATAAATTAAAACAGTGACAAAAAGCTTTAGTCATTAAAATAATAGAGCAATATTCATTATTGCTATCTATTTTTGTATTATGCAAAAATATATTAATGTACCAAATCAGCTTTAAAGTACAACATTTGTATACTTTTCACGTCTAATTCATATACGAAATTAAGCTGGAGAAATAACTACGTATTACGGAAATGCCGTGAATTTTACGACTTTGTCCACTGACATAGTAGCAAGTACTAACAACGTATTTTACTACTAATACTTTGAATGCTACTGCCATAAATTTAAGATTACTATTAACTTATCAGACTGAAACTAGACCTCGTTTTCTACAATTTTACTAAAAATTAATCTTAGAATCTATCCCGTAGTGACCAAACTGCAACAGCTATTACCCGAAATTGTTATTAGTTCTTTTACTGTCACCACACCAAGCATGTCTATGGTAATTTGAGCAAGAATTATCTCCTTCATATTATGTGACACTATACTTCATAATTCTAATTTACTAAAAAACACTATAAATTTCTATAATGATTTTCCATCGTCATGAAGAACAAATGAATTGCCGTAGCCCGCGCCATCTCCTCCCCATATTTCAGACTTCAATACCTCTTATCCACTCCCATCTCACTGTCCATTTCATACATGCACTATCTTAAAACAGTTGACACTGCCTTGCTTTGGTGCTGTTGTGTGACGTTATTTTCGTTTAGTGTGTAAAACAATAATTACTTTATAATAACTTTATTAGCATAAATATAATACAACAAAACGGAACGAATTATTGACGAACAATAACGTTTCATAAAATACCCGAAAAGTAAAAAACCAGAAAACGTCGTGCGATTAGATTGAAAACATTAAGAAGATGACAAGTTTCAAGGAAAGCTTCAAACTGAATGCTCTAGTTTAATATAAGCGAAATCGCTTCACTTACTGTGAACCACGCGTTCAGTTACGTCCGTTGTAAACCTTTACTTAAAATGCTAAACTTTAATCACAAAATGACGCGGCAGTAAAACGATATAAACTAATTTTCAACTGCTGACTGCATTTTTTCATCCTAAATATCTCCTATCTCGACATTAAAGCTACAACTAACACTCAAATCATCAAGTACCAAAACTAACCTACCTCATTACTACTCAACCTGAAAAACTAGTCAAATGACGACAAGGCACCATTTCATATGTATTTTCCCTAACAAACACAGTTTCAATGAAAATCCTAGTTATTCTTATCCATAAATAAAAACTCTCCTGTGAAAATAACACTGCCAATTGGAACTGCCTGAAAATTAAAAATTTGAAAAAGCAAACGTGAATTGCGCAGTTTCTTGATCGCTTTCCGCGCACTATACATGATTTCGGGTTTCCAACCGAAAGCTGCCAAAAAATTAATGGGAGAGCCCTTTCCCAACGCCACTACGTACAGCAACGACGCATTACGTTTCAAATATTGCACTACATGGTGGCATATATGATGAAAACTAATAGACCGGAAGCAACGAAGTACTTACAAAAAAATTTCAACTGAAGTTATTTAGCTCAAGATATTCACTTTAAGGTGCTGTACAAATTGCTCACAAGCCGAAAAATGAATATAGAGACCAAGTATTGAAAAAAAGAATAGAGCTAGGCTGAGGTAACTAGGCTGAGGTAACTATCGCCGATATATAACAAGCAATAAATGATATATTTGCACAAGACATGTTGAGAGAGATCAAAGGTTGGGCAAAGTATTTAAGAAAATACCTCAGCGTGAAAGAGATGCAAAATATTTATTAGATTAGATCATTTTTTGACCTTGTTGCCTACGTGGTTTTCGATCTACCTACACGTTGCTATTGATTTCATGAAGTTACCAAAAAAGGATGATAAAAGTTACAAGTTATAAAAATG